TCAAAATAATGTTTTGAAAAATACTCTGAAAAGAAATTATGTTTAAAGAAATATCGTAAAATGATACTATGATATAGACCACCGATACATAGTATATCATTCAATATTAACACTATTATCAATAACTAAAATATATATAATATATATATTATTAGAATTTATATAGATAAATACAAATATAATATAAATCTAATTCATAGAAAAATGAATAACAGTTTAAAGAAACACAACGTTGAAACGTGAACTATTTAATAAACGTACCGATACCATATATTCAGGATACAATGTTCTTTTACTTAATTAAAGCTTAATTAATTACTAATACTAGGTATATCTGCTGTTCTTGAAAAAACTGGGAACTCGTAACGGCTTGCAATCTGCAATTTTTGTTTCGCCCAGATGGAAGCAATCATTGCGATCGTTACCGCCGCTGGCGCATTAAAACGTGAAAACTCCAAGTCGCTAAAAAAGCGGTCTCTCCCCTCGACGTAATTAAATTTATCTCCGTTATTACTATGTCCGTAAAAACAAGGAAAGTGTTTACCATTAATTAATCTTTTTTTAGACGGCGAGCGTGACAGGATGAAAGGCATGCCAACCGTAAAAGTCTCCGGCGGTTGTCGAGGTGAAACAACGAAGAAAAGGAACATAATTAATAAGCGGCCGGTGGAAAATGAACGTTGCGAATAAAGTTCGAGGTAACGTGGGTATCGCGGTTCAACGGGCAAAACAATTAATTCTGAAAGTATATGTTTTAAAAAGAATGTTTCTTGCACAACGGGAGGCGGGTAGAGCCCCTAATCGATCGTTCGATCGATCGATCAATCTTGATTAGCTCGACTGGTAGGGCGCTTTCTCGTGCAGCTAATGTAATTAAAGGAAAATTCTACCGAGCCCGAGAGCTTCCTTCTTTTCTCTAGTCGGCATCGTCGCGATTATACGAATCTCCATCGATAAAATATAAAAGGAGTAACGCTCAAAGTGGCGCACTCGACAACATTTACTCCGCAAGCGTCCACCGATAAAGCGCTTTAACGAGTGCGTTCAGTTCTTCGTGAGTTCCTTCTTCTTCTATCTCTGTCTCCCTTTCTCTTACTCGCTCTTTCTTTCCTTCCCTTCGAAGCGCGGATCATTAATTAGCTCTGCCGGATGAAAAACAGCCTCTCGCCTATTCGAGGCTGCCAACGAGGCCGACAATAATAAAGCGGGGCAATTAGCCACTTTTAATAACATCGTTCCACCGGACGACTTATTTGTACTTTCTTCCTTTTTAGAGCAACCCCGATCCGGACGCAGCGTATTGTCACGATATTTCTTCTCGTTTTGGACGCGAACATTCTAATGATTTTCGCGCACGTGTCCCCGCTCGAGCGCATTCGCGGTAATTGCCGCTTAATTGACCTAATTTTCACGACGCTCGCGATAAAAGGACATGCCTGAATTTCACGAATAGAGCGACCCCACCGCCGGAATTGTTACACCGCCGTTTCAGTAATTAATTGAAGGAAATTGATGCGCTCGCTCCTAGAGGATAAAGGGCGACTGGCAGTCGTGCTCGAGGCTGAAATTAACAGAGTCCAGGAACAGTCAGTTTCCAGGTAAATTCGTTTAAACGCCGCTCTTTCCACGCAATTTCAATTGCAGACTTGAAACGTTACATCTGCTGTATAATTTCACGAAAACTCTCCGTTAACACGAAAGCGAACGAAGGAAGAACGTAAGAAGCAAAGGAAGTAGAAATAGTTCAGAAAAATTGTTCAAAATATGTTCTTTCGAATTTAGTATAATGTAATCGATAAATGGTTAACCACTTTGCGACAACAACGCGAATCGTACGATCGTTACGCTTGTGAGCTTGTGAACATGATTTTATAAATTGCTTTTGTTGATTTTATAAATATAAATTGTTTCATATACAATCACGTTTAATTGGATTACTTAATACGTAAAATTGCTACCACGCGTTTGATAAAGTTATATCGTATCATAGAGATAATGAAAAATCTACTAAAATATTCGTATCGATTTACAAGCGATCAACCAATTCCGAGAACATCTAACCTTCGCCTCTTTTCTGTCGCAGGATTCATCTTCGCAAAATCCAAAATCTGTACGAAAAGGTGAGATCGAGCTTCCTCGACAAGCAAGTTTCGATCTAGAAACACTATATCGAGCGACGACGTATTGGGTAGGGCACGGTTTCCTTTGTACGAGGATGGCCGAGACCGAAAGCGTTGTAAAGTTGTGCCACGGATCCCGAGCGAACAGCCGCTCGTAAATATGCACGGTGCTTCATGAATATGCATTGTTCGCGGTGCATACGCGCCTATACGGCGTGCAGCTCGCCTCTGCCGGTACACCTTAAGACCCTGGCAAGTTTCGAGCACCGGCCGCCACGAAATATGACAGCCGCGTTTGTGTCCGTAACCAAAAAAGGAGGCCACCTCGCCGACAGACAGTTTGCTCGTTAATTAACGAGCGAATTGTCGTTGGTGGAAGAAAAAATAAAAAAAGGGAAAAAAAGAGGCCACGTTTCCGTCTATAAATCGCGAAACTGTCAAATCGACGCGAGTCGTATATGTCGTGTCGGATCGCGGCGAAAGTCACGCCAACGCGTTGGAGAAAGTCAACAAGCCGCCGTCGTGCAAATGAGAAATTTTATTGGATCCCCGAAGGGAGTTTCGCGAGACGACGCGCCGCTGAAAATTCCGGCCGCGACCGACAGAAACGCATGTTAAACTATTAGCTCTGTAAACGTTCGAAGCTACGATGGAATTTCCCTTCTCGCGGAGGAGCGGCAAATTTCATTAGACCCGTTGATCCCGTTCAAATGTTTAATCTGTCTGGATATAATCCGGTGGTCGATCGGAGGAAAAACGGGCAAAAACTGAGACAGTTTTGTTAAACGATCGACCGATGGATCGGGAGGCGCGCGGAGATTGAACCAACCTCCCGTTTAAGGTCTCGGATAAAAATCGAAGGAACGAGATTTGCATCGAGGCGAAAGACACAACTTTGTTAAGCATATGTAAAAAGATATAATAACAACAATCGCTTCTTATTCTTTATAGAATATTATTATATTCGATATAGTATCTGTATCCGAATGCAGATGAAAAACGAAGACAATCAGTCAGCGCTCTAATCAGAAATGTTACTTTCACGTAATTTTAACGGAACCTTAAGCGCGTGAAAAATGTATTCAGGCCACGACTGTACATCCCTCTCTCTTAAAAACACTTGGTCGATCTCAACGCGCGAAATAAGAAACAGTCCCTCCCTAAAGAGTTAGCCAAGAGAGAAGAAGTCATTTCATCGCTTTACGCTAGCTTCTTTCCTAACCGCGATCAATTAAACCGACGTACGAATAGATTCCTGCAACTATATTCATAGCCTCTTACTTATTTGCATTTGGCTTCTCGTAAAAAGGAGACAAACACGTGAGAAGACCCGATTTGATTCTCGTAAAAACTAAACGACAATCATCGACCTTCGGACGCATCACTATCCAAGTGTCCAGGCACTAAGCGAATACGTTCACCAGACACATTGGTCTCCGTGACACACCTTCACCGATATAACCCGTGCTAGCATGAGCACAAATACATTTACGATCGTACGCACACGAGATGACTCCCTCTATTACTATGTATACGTTCCTGAATAAACATGATTTGCTTGCGCGCCAGCAGGATTACGTATCCTGCACCTTGGCTCGACGAGATGTGGAGCGTCTTAATCCATATGCATGGGAATCCTCGGCGAGGATGCCGACGTGGCCAATTGCTTCTTTTGTTCTTGCACTGTGGAGAAACGTCCCGAGGTGTGTTCCCGTCGTCGATCGGCGACTCGTTTTATGGATAAACACCGAATACGGTGGAGGGAGAACAATTCAGCTTTTTCCCTTTTCTTCTTTTTCTTTCTTTTTCATCGTTTCTTGCCTCTCCGCGGTGTTAATACCACGCGCATGAATCATTTATGAACGATTCGAAATAACTTCGTCTCGATGGAAATAGATCGGCAGCGAATGGAGACCCGTTATATAACGCGAACAACTAATCCGCCGCGGTCGAAGGTGCACGAGGACAGCTTTCGCGCTGGCACGCAATCAATCGTCGCTTATAGGAAACAACGCCGCGAATAATTATGGTGCTCGACCGAATAGGGAACGAGGCTTCGACCCGGTTTGCGTGCGAAAGGTTTTCGTTGCTCTTCGATGAAATTGATATGTAACGCATTGTAGCTTGGGGCTGAGTTTCTTGTATCGTATAATGATCCTTTTAACGCGAGAGTATAGTACGTTGCGCGAATATTCAATAACGTGAATCTCCTGATTTTCGTTGATTAATTTATATCGAAGAAGTTAAAGATGAATTAGTTGAATAGAAAATTAATGGAAAATAATTGAACCGAGATGTATCGCAATTAATTAATTAATATCGCGTTTCTTTAAATTTAGACGCGTCCAGTTTCGAAAAAATCCATCAACAAGATAAAGCTAACAAAAATATTGAAGGAAGAGATCGCAATTCCAGTGCAAACAATCTCTATCCAGCTTCGTCGTAGTTCACCAGAGCAAAATGAAAACTGACAATCAACATTAATTCAATGATGATTAATTTTCCAATTTACGGGGAACTTTCGTCCAATAATTTTTTTTATTTGTATATATCTTTATTTTAGAACCCATAACGCACCTTAGACGATACGGTACACTGATTGACGAAATGACGGAAAACTATATGAAATAAACATTCCCTAAAGCGTAAATATAGTATATACAAAGCAATGCTTACAAATAAATCCGACTCTCATTAACGAAAGTATTTTATAAGCCCGAAAGATCTGTCTCTAGGTTTCTATCCGTCTTTAACTGCACTCAGTATCTATAGATTATACGCTCGTAAATTAGAGTTCAATGAAACAATCAAACGGTAAACGGCTATTGCAATTCTCCTTGACACGTCGATAAATATCCATCACGCAGCTGTTCACCGTATGTCAAAATGCAACGAAAGGAACGCAGCATTAGTCTCTTGATTGTAAGCAATGGAGGAGGGCGTCTCGCAGCTCGCAACTGTCCTGCTGCACCGAAAACGAGGAGTGGAAAGTTCGTCGTCACGGTTCTCTTATAGCAGCCGATACAAATATATCCAGCCGTGTAATATTTAAGTGGCACGATGCATATTTATGTCCAGGGCGGGCGAGACGGCCAGGCAAGCAACGAAAGGAAAGACAAACGGAACAGATTGGTTTCCGGTAGCGCAGCTACGCGACGAGGCAGCAGCTGCGCGAGGTCGGCCGTTTCGAAGCCCCGGGTTTGTCACAGGAGGCAGGAAACGCTCGCACCCGTTAATAACCCAATTAAAACGGACAGGAAACCCTGGTAGCCCCGGTACCGTCGGTCTGGACGATGCCACACGATGCGTCGACAGCGTTACTGTTATCGTCGCTATTACTGCCACTACAGGTGTTACTGTATCGAAAGGGGACGCGGTAGAAGTCTCGTTCATGGAATTCGTATTAAATGATTGTCCTATTGCCAACGATGCTCTCCAAAGTTCATGAGTATTGGGACATCTGCTAGTTTCATGTAAAACATGGTAGTTTAACCATAATTATCAAGGAAACGCACGATTAATCAGAATTCGTCACGAAAAATTGCGATCAAATTCACGCGATGAGAATATATTAAATAGTGTTCAAGAATTGAGAGAAACTCGAAGAATGGTTTATAGCGTGTGTAGAATGGAATAACAACAAAACAGAATGACAAATAAAACAGTGAATGATACATTTGATCAAAACTGATTAATTGAAAAATACGACCGGTACGTGAGACGGAGAAATTAGAGATTAATTTTATTATATCAAATTGATGAATTGTTATACTGAATTATTATGTATTGAATACGTGGGTCCTTTCGAGTCTAAAATATCATTCAACCGCTTCGCTTCATGTACGATACAAATGATCTTTTTTAAATATTCAGAGTTGAAAATATCAATTTGTCGGATGATATCTACGTAATCTACATTTAACAAAATTTACATATAAGAAAGATTTGTCAAAAAAGCTATGTACGTATTTCACCAAATATAGTATGTATATTATTTCTGCGTATATCTTCAAAGATCTAAATGACCCACTTACATAATGTAAATCTGTCATATATGATGGATTAAAGCTAATTGCAAATAGTCAGTAAAAGAGTACCCATGTATATACACAATAAAATCCATTAATCAAATTAATAAACTCTTCCGCCACTAAAAAAAAAAAAAAAAACAACCATGGCTAACAAAACACAGTTGTGATGACATATTGAAAACGATCGAAATTTTTATTTTGTTTTTAAAACACTGAACATTCTCATCTCGTAAAATCGACCGAACGACTATTCATCTGTCTTCTCGAATATTTAGACTTCGTTTGACTGTCCTATAATATTGCGCTGTATGAATGTCCGATTCGACATCAAGTAATCGAAAGTCGATTACAAGCATGCCAGAAATTAAATGTACCAGTTATACCGGTTACAGCTAGTAATTCGAAGCAGATATTAACGGTGTTCGACGATTCACGGATACAAATCTGATTTCCTCGGTCTGGCTACGAAATCCACGTATTTCGCATCGATTCGCGATTAATCAATTACGTAGAAGCAGCGTTCGCCCCTATCACGCGGCCATAAATTTCCGATAATATCGGCAAGGATTAAACTCTATCGTCAAAGCGAAGATAACTCGCGAAATATAATAGTCGGATCGATGCGATTGGAATTCGTGGATCAAATCTATCCCTCACCCTTCCCCTTCCCTGATCATAACGAACAATCGTGTAACCCGGCCCAGCTGGAACAACCAATTTCCTCCTTTAATCGAGAACGCGCAATTACACTCCATTACCTTTTACCGTGGGATAAACAATAATTGTAGAACCGTGAGCCTGCGACCCTCGTATTCCTTTCTTACCTGAAACAGTGAAACGAAGCAACAATTTAATACGACGATCAATCGGTCGAAACGAGGACGATGCCAAGTAAAAAAAGAAAAGAAAGAAAGAACGAAACGGCCAAAAGCACGACCGTACAATACGGGCACACAGGAAATCGGGGCTACGAAGGAAATCGAGATCGGCGAATCGATTCGTTTCGCCTTGCAGCAAGTAATTTACGAAATATGAAATTGGGTACGCTTTTTATTACGTAGATAGCATGAAATCGTAAAATAAAAATGCTTACGAAATATCTATGTAATAATTGAAGCCAATCCAAAGTGATCAACTCTGCTTTTTATGAACTCGACTTTATTACGCGGGCGTATAGATAGTTGGTATATAAATTCTGACAAAACAGATGATTTGCTTTATCGCGAGAAGGCACGAATAATTGTGAATCTTGAGATGAATTTTTAAAAAATTGTCTCTTCACGCATCATTATCTTTTTATTTATTAAATTATAGACCTGATCCGTGCGGATTTTAAACGGTCATTAATGTCATTGTGCGGGTTAAATTGTTTAATTTTTTAATCACTTCACCTATTTCATCTTATCTTGTATCTGTATTTTAAAAATGTAAAAAATGCCCATTATTCACACAAGATGTGAAATATAAAATAAAATTAAACATCTAGAAATTAAATTATCATATCCAAATTTAATTTGAATTATTGTAATCACCTATGCATAACGATACCAATTAAGAAATACATTTTAGATTTTATATTTAGATTTATGATCCAAACTATAAAACACGAGATTACCGTGTATATTTAATCAGTTTTGTATCTCGAAAAAATTAAGAAATGCTCTTATTTAAAATTTCACAAATGCTCCTTTATAGCTGACTGAGTAGTCTCTTTTATCGTAATAATTTCCTTACTAGTCAAAAAAATAAACTATTAAAAAAAAATTATCTCTTTCCTAATTTTACTTTATTTTCCTCATATGTACTGCTCCAATTTTCCTAAACGTCCTTTAATTTTTTATTTATCGCAAGAACGTAACTAATACATGAAAACACATATCAAAGAACTAAAAATACGTATAATCATAATTACTTTAGAGAAAAATAATTTCCAAAGGCAATGAAAATAACCATCCCATATTTGCTTCATAATACCATCGAACTTTCGAGCCATACATTACTCCATTCGTGGCTTCAACGTGAAAAATAATTAGGTATATACGTCACCCTATGAAGCATACCCCAGCAACTTAACAAATGATACGAACCTTGCATTAAAAGCTTGAAACTCGACGGTATTAAGCTTCAGCGAGTGTAAATCGAATAATTAGCGATTTTACAGAGGAACACGGCGGCGCATGAATATTCATAAGGTAGGGCGAAATCACTTGCACGTCATCCGAATCAAAGGGGAACGAGGAACGATGCGAATGAAGCGGATCAAAAGATTGCAGAGAGAGTGTGTATACGCGCGGAACCAATAATTTCCCGTATCGATCGGTGTCGATCTCGGCCGATGCGGCGTGAAATCGAAAGGATCGCAACCGTAGCCGCGTGGTTAAATGAAAAGCGGCTACCGATGCCTGTTCGACTTGCCTGAATTACTGGCTGCTCGCGAGACGGAGCAGAGGGTCGATCGTTCCGAAAAACAGACCGTAAAGCATTAATTATGTGACTTCCGCACTGAAACTCGTGCTCATCGACCCTCGATATCGCGAATATGCACCGGGAATACATACCGCATAAATTTGTAGCCCGGACGAAACGAGCGAGCAGCACTACCCCGCCGATCGATCTCCCTTCTTGTACGCACCGAATGATTCACGGAATTAATGTACAATTACGAGCTCTGCAACTCTTGTGCAGGTTGCAAGTGGTATGCGCTTAATTAAGACGTGCATGAAATGAACACTGGATCGCCACAAATACATATGGTGTTCCTTCCGAGGAATTCTTTTTAATAAGCTTCGATGTAGTACATTAGTATAATAATACTCCTGGCTACCCGAAGGTTAATGAATTCGAGTTTTAATTCGACTGTACGGTCAATTTGTGGGGTAACCTTGTTCTCCAAAGTGGGATTGTATTTTTTGCAATTACGTTATTAAAGCGTAAAAAGGAAATGGAAAAGACGTTTTTATTAATAAGGGCAGGTGAAACATATTTTCACGTACGTTCGATAATCTATCTCGCCGCACGTAAGTAAAAGTACTCGTTGAAATTCGAAATATGGCTCGATATGTTTAAATTACATTCAGTCAAATATGATTAGCATTTCGCTTTAGAAGAGAAACGAATGTAATATGAAGGTAATATCCGTTAATACGTACTTTCAAATTATTACTTACTATAATATCAAATAGTTATAAATGATATTGTCTATTGATAAAACACACAGAAAAGACCTGCCTAAAAGTATGAAAGGGAATAGTTGTAGCGAAATTTTATATACAAACTGATTCGTCGTTTGTACGTTAATGAAATTAGTCTTGGTTTTTCTACAAAGTATGAAAATACCAATTAAAATCTTCTTTAATATCCATAATTACCAAACTGCTGGTATTTACGCGTTTATAACAATTTTCAACGTGCAAAAATGCCTATATTTAATTAATGTAATAATTATTAGTTATAATTCTTACTGCGTAAAGCAATTTTCTATCTAGGTTCCATTTCTTTAATTGTCCTTATACAAATTTGAACTTCCATAAATATTCACAGTCTAATAATTACTTTTTATTATACATTCCCAAATATATTTAATTTGCGTTTACAAAACAAACTTCTATTTCCAGATTGTTATATGTCAAATAAAAAAAAGAAACACGTCAACATATTTATGTATAAATTATTTTAACTTCAGCTCTATAATAAAAACAATTTATATGCAAAATCTCGTGAATATTAAGTTGTACGATAGGTTTGTAAAAAAAAAGAGCTATATATGAAAACTTGAAATAGATTGTTAACGTAACTGAACATCGAACGAAATTCATACATATTAACAAACTGTCTGAAAAATCTTTCTCATAAATATTTCTTTCATAAATATTCAATGGAAATATATTCAACTTGAACAACATTTTATTTCCAGCTAGCAGAAGCTTTTTCTTCAAGTCAGTCGCAGTTTTTCTCGCATAAAGATCTCAACTGGATAGAAGTAACAAAGTTGCGCATTACGTCGTGCGTTAGGGTGCTGTCAAGGTCGTTTCTATTCAACCCCTAATCAGACACATTGAATTTATCGCGCTACGCGAGAGAAGGGCACGGGCTGTTTTGGTTACTGTATAATTGCAGCGTAACGACGGTGTAATTGCCTCGGTTGCTAACAACGACGCCGTGCAACCTCGTAAATAACAAAGAAATCCTTTACACGTCCCGGATAAACTGTGTATTACGGATAACTATACGTAATTAACCATTCTAAAGTTTGCAACATGGACGAGAATATTTGCTACTTTTTAAGAGTTTGAAAATTTGGTTTAATTAAACCTTTGTATTTTAGTGGTGCCGTTATAGCTACACCGACTCACAAAAGTACATAGCACGAAAAATGTTTATGTCCATATTATACATACGTATGTATGTGTTGTGTAAAACATTTGACGGACGACTATATTGGTATAATTTGAAACCGATTTGAAGATGTATGTAAAATTTAACAGATATCTATTATAACATAAATTTAGTACAAAATTACTGTACAACATGAAATAACTATCTTGGGCATAGAATAAATGTTAAATATGGTATTATCGAGGTTTATTAATGTAACGAACGTTTAAATACTTCTGTAATTTCCGTAAACTTTGTCTGCAGTAGAAACAGTATAACCATAATAACTGGGTCTCGTTGCACTGCTAATGAAATTTCAAAATGTTTCATATAACACACAATATACTCATAAAAGGGTCTACAAGCAATGTTTAAATACCTTTTACCTTGCAACTATAAATCCGAGATAGAAAACGAAATTTTCATATTTAAGGAAAAATAATTCTCTATTAACGCGCTATAAATCCTCCAGTTTTCTCAGTCTTCGTAAAATTATACGGTGAGCAAAGAGTACGCGGTTCCCACGCGAGGAAGTAGTAAAGTAAGTAAAGTTTATTCCGTATGTCGCGCTGGAGTAAACGAGAGAACGAAACGTACAAAATAAAAAAAAATACAAAAAATAAAGAAGAAAAGAAAAAAGAAAGAGGGAGAAAGGAGGGTCTCGAGTTTGCGTTCCCCGATTCGATCGGCGTGCGTGTGACCGGTGATAAGTTAATGCCGCGATTGCCGTACGTGAAAAGAGTGAAAGGGTCGGTGTGCAATAACGGGGGAAGTTTGGTCGCGATACGAAGCAGACGAAGGAAAAGGAGAAGAAAGAGGCAGGGGAGAAAAAAAAGGAAGGAGAAGTACCGGTGCAGTTGCACTCATTTACTTTCCCTGCCAGCGTGAGTCACACATGAAAGAGCCTAATCTCACGCGATCGTGTCGTGTCCGGTGACCCCTGATCTCCTCGCGAATCCCTGTGCGAGCCCCTGTCAACCACCCCCTCGTCGCTCGGTGCACAGTTCTTTTCGTTACACGCATTTAAATGACGCTGCTTTACATTTTTTTCTTCCCGAATATTATGGTTTTATTCCGGCGTTATCGTCGGTGCCGATCTTCTCCTGAGCCGACAACCCGCGCTCATTTATTTTCGACCACCACCTTTCCTCCCTTTCTCCGTTTCTCTGTCCCTCTCACAGTTTCTGTCGTGTCTACCTGCCTGTTTAATTATTTCTTCGCACGGCTTAATGGATAAACATGTTCACCACGTTATTACACCTATGTTAAATCGTTGGCTGGTGTTGTAAAGGCTCTTAAAGCGTGGGCCTTGTTCAGGCTCCTACGTAACTCGCAGAGAGCTAGTTATTTTGGCAAGCAAAAGAAGTTTGTCGATACTAATATGCTAGAAATATGTTGATTAGTACACTCGAAATTTCAAAGGTATATAAATAAAGATTACGGGAGGCGAACGCGATAAGCCACGTTCTCCTTTCATTCTTGCAGAGGGGTAGTTCTCAAACACGATATATCGCCAATTAGACCCGCGTTTCTAAATTATTTAATTTTACCATTAAAACGATGATATCTTCTTTTTAAATCAAAAGATCAATAAACATGTACATACTTAATACGTTTTTCTCCTATCGATCGTCAGATAAATGATCAAATTTAGAGTCTATGCAAATTCAATTTCAGCGATCTATTCCAAAATTCAAACGCTCGTCTCTTCAGCCTCCTTCTCGTCGTCACCAGCGTTATCGGTTGATATGTAGCCGGTCGTCAATGAAGCGGTATAACGCGATCAATTACACCAATTCTCGCGTTAACTGCGGTTCGAGGCTGTTGGTCGCTGGGTCGAGACGTCTGATCGTTGGTATATGCGGCTAAAGTCCCGATCAAATAATTCGACGCATACAGTCGGTGAAGATAGTGCAAAATTAAATGGTTTATTGGCGGG